GTTTGCTTCGTGTGACGGTAGAGTCGGTCGGCGTGGAGCGCTATTCGGTTTCGAACGTTGTCTAATGTCGTCGGATGCGTTGTCTTTTACTCCTCTCCGCGAGCGATCTCTCGGTTTGCACCCGTCGTTCAACTTTGCAACTCTAAATAGGAATTTGCTGGATGAGTTTAATGAGCGCGAAAGCAATGTTCTGCGGAAAGATGAGCAAATGCCTGTGTATCTGCGTATTCGACCACTGAACCCTGGTGAGGCCTCTGACAAGGTGCTGTTTGCACGCGACGCCACTAGAGTCGTGCTTAAGCCGTTGGTGGAAGAGAAGGGTCTGAGGGCAGGTATGTTCGCGTTCGGCCAGTCCTCGCATGAGTTCACCTTTTCCCGGGTGTTTGATGAGGTAACAACGCAAGCCGAGATTTTCAAGGCTGTGGCGGCGGAGCGGGTGAGTGAGTTTCTCGAGGGTGTGAATGGTTTGGTTTTCGCCTACGGCACAACTAGCTCCGGTAAAACCTACTCTCTGCAAGGTGGGTGCGCTGCTGTCAACTCACCCCTCTTTCCCTTTATCTCCCCTCATTTATGGTATGTTAAACAGGCACCGCTGGGAATGGAGGCGTGATTCCTCGTGCATTGGAGTGCATCTTTAGGAGTGCGGTGCTAAATCCAACGGAACGATTGGTGCCACGCGGATTTGATGAGGTGCAAGAGGTGACCGAGGTGGAAGCAGCAAGGCGGAGACAAGACAAGGCTCTTCTCCTGCGTCTTGCGCGCACTACCGAAAACGTAAGACGAGCCTCATTGTTCGTGGACATTCTCATTTTCGCTCCACGCCTTCTGACTCGCTCTTCTTTCCCATGGCAGTTGTCGCGATCTCGCGCAGTCAGTTGGGAGTCTGTGCGACCGTCGTCGGAGACAGGGCTGTCGACTAGCACGAAAGGAGAAGCAGTGGCCAGGGTGAGAGAAGAGTGTTTGGAGGTGTCATTTGCCTACAAGGACTCGGCCGCATTTTGCTTCTGGATCAGTTTTGTGGAGATCTACAACGAGGTTGTCTACGACCTACTCGACCCCGATTTCGTCTCCGCCATCGAAAAGCATAGTCGTGCATCCTCTGGTGTGACGGCCGGTTGTGGTGGTGGCGGTGGACCATTTGGAGTGCGTCGAACTCCGCTAGATTTGCGCACAGATAAGAGGGGCAACGTGTTTGTCAAGGGTTTGTGGCTTTTTTATTCTATTCCAGAAAATTCCATTTTCTTTGCTGATCCTAATGGGGTCTGCTTCTCTCATAAAGTGTTGTTTGTAATTTCGGTGAAATTTGTTGTGTTTGGCTGGTGTTTCCATTTTGCAGAACCTTCTGCATATGAAAGCTGTGATTCAAACTGCGGGGCAATTCCTTGCGTGGTTTTTTCTTTTTGTAATGCTGGTCCTGTTAAGTTCTAGATCTTGGAGACTTAAGGTTCTCACTTTTGTTGTAGAATGAAATTGAGAATCTATTGTACCGTTTAGGTGGGTAGGCGAGTGATAGAGTGATTGTATAAGTGTTGTTTCTATCATGGGACGCTTTGGTGAGTGGAGTGTTCGTCTTGTGTTTGCCAAGTCGCCCTGATGGATTCAATTGTTTTGGTTCAGCTGAAGTGGTTGAAAAGTTGCTCGTATTTGGCTTTATCGTTTGGAGGCTTCATTAGTGCGAATTTTGTAACTGAAAGGGGTGATTGGGAGTGGAAGGAGTGGAGGTGGCTCATGTCACTTAAGGTGAGTCGAATTGATTATTGCATGTGGATATGTGCGATTGCGCGTTGTAGGTGTGCGGTGGTATGCAGTGACCTCAGCGGAGGAGGCCTACTCACTGATCTCGATAGGTCGGTGCTGTCAGTGCGTAGGTGTTACGCGGCTCAACGAGTCAAGTTCGCGTTCGCACACAATCCTCACCCTTCGTGCTCTTCGCTCTCGTCGGGGCACTTCCGTCGGTGGCGAGATGGGTGCTGTTGGAAGTAGCAGTTTGTTGAGTTTCTGTGATCTCGCAGGTAGCGAACGATGCACGAAAGCAGCGACACTGGCACAGGTGCAGCGCTTGCGCGAGGCGAATAGTATCAACACGAGTCTTTTGACTTTGGGCAAGTGTATTGAGGCGTTGCGTCACAACCAGCGACATGGTGGCGGTGGTGGTAACCCGCGAATCGTGCCGTACCGCGAGTCACGGCTCACGCGTCTCTTCCAAAACTTCTTTGTCGCCGCAGGACCGGCGGCGTGTGGTCGTGGGCGGAGTCGTGCATGTCTGCTAGTGAACGCAGCGCCGTGTGCTTCGTTGGCAGAAGAAACGCTGCATTCGTTACGCTTCTCGGCCCTTGCTGCTCAGGTTCTCATGTCTGCCGCGGCGCCACCACCGCTATCATCACCGAAAGCCTCGTCTCCGGAGTACACTGCAGCTGCAATAGCCTCTACCGCTATCCAGGATCAATTGCGTGCTCAACTGCTCAGACAAGGATTTCAACTGCGGTGAGTTTCTCCTCCCGTATTGATTGTTTTTATGATTGTGTTAAGAGGCTGCTCTCTTCTTTGACTCATTTGAATAGAAAGTAGTCGTATTTGTGCCATCTCAATTTGTGATGTCAGTTGTATTTATGAAGTCGTGGTGCTATTAGCATGTGACTTACCGCAAGTGTCCATGCTTGGTTTCTTTGACGCACTTTTCTTTTAAGGAACTGGGGATGGGGGCTTGAATGATGTGCCAGTGTAGATTTCCAGTTCGGAGGTTTTTTGTGCACCTTGCAGTTGTTCTGGCAGTCTGCTCGGTCGACACGGAAAGAGCAGCATTAGTAGCATTGCGACTTTGGCAACAGCAGCCTCGGCGGAGATGACGATGGTGGGGGCGGAGGAGTCGGAGGCGACGCCAACGGTGGCACAACACCTTGTCGGTGATGTCAGTTGCGGTAGCGATGGTCATGGCGGAGGTGGAGGCGTTCGGCGACCATTGGCGGACTGGATGGATGAGACAGTGGAGGCGGAATTGAGGCGTTTATCGCGAGGAGGGCTGGTTGAGATGGTGCACGAGCTGGTGGCAGCTGTGGCGGAGGCGCTGCCTGCTGAGGTGGAGGCGGCACGTAGTGAGGCTCGTGCTGAGGTTACGGCGACGATGGGCGAGGAGCTGTTGCGAATGGAGGAGCAGTACGAGTGAGTGTGATCACGTCCTCCTCATTTATTTGATATGAGAGGGCTATGCGTTGTGAAGATCTCTGGGACGAGCAAGGTGGCTGGGTTTCAGGTTGACCATGTTGTTGGTCAGCAGAAGCAGAAATGGCTGTGGGTGGTAGTGTGCGTGCGCTCTCTGTCATGTGCGGATTGATCAGGGAAGGTGTGTGCGAGTTTGTGTGGTGTATGTGTGTGTGTGTGTGTGGGTTTGTGTGGGGTTGTGTGTCGTGCAGCCTTCCGTCTAACCCTAACCCTTCGAGGGAGTGACATCTCCCTTATCTCATTTGAGCGGTTTTAGGTGGCTTTCCGCCTCCAAATCCACCGACATCAGTCCGCACTTGCCCGTGCATGTGCATGTGCTCTGCGCTAACAGTCTGTATGTCACTTGCCCACTCGCTCGTCCCAAGATGGGTTTTTGTTGGTGGTGGCAGCTATGGTGTGCAATGCGTTGCACATTCCTAACACTACCGACGTACACGAACTGTTATATCACTCCTTCCTTCTATCTGGCAGTGTCGGAGTCACGAATAGGTTGTCCTATTTGCTGACAGTATGATTGTGATTTAGTTAGCCGGATGAAAGTGATGTGTGGATGTGTTTGGTGCTCACGTGCAGAAGTAGGAGGTTCGTGGGCATGAGGTGGTGTTGTGAGGAGAATTGTGGTGTTGTGGTTTTTATCAGCCATGGTGTCTGTGTTTGTTGGCAGGGTGCTGTTGCAGAAACAGGAGCGGGAGTTTGAGACGCGACTGGCAAAGGAGCACCGAAAGCGAAAGCAGGAACAACAACGAAGAGGCCAGCATCAACAAAGTGGTTGTGGCATCAGTGGTGCAGACTGTTCGTGGCTTCCATTGCTCAGTGCGACGGAAGGCGAAGAAGAAGTAGAGGTTGAGCGAGCAGTGAGTGAAGTTGGTAGGTTGGAGGTTGTGGAAGGTAGTGAATTATGGGCACGGGAGCCGTCAGCGAAGACCCGTCGGATGGGAGGAAGGGGCGATGAGTTGGAAGGGGCGGTGGAAGCAAAGTCAAATGCAGAATCAGAGGAGGAGTGCCCTTCTTGTGATCGTGCGTAGTTTTTGCTTCTTGTCTTATTTGCTGCGGTGTCAGTAGAAACACTAGTGCTGCCTATGGTGGTTAGTATGTGATGACGGTTTCTTGCTACTGTAGACTATGCAAAGGAGGTGGCACGTTTACGTGAGGAGTTAGAGGAGGCGCGCGGCGATCTGGCGGATCAGCAGGATGCGATTGCGGGTGTGATGGCGCAACGCGACGCTTTTGAGGTGGAAGTGCGGCGCTTAGAGTTTCAATTGCAACTGGCAGTGAGTTGTCAGTGTTTTCCTCTCATTTGTGTGCTACCTGTGTCCGTCTGTGTGTTGTTAGTTGGTTTGTTTTTTCGTTGTGTGGATGTGGCCACTGGAGGAGAATTGTGCAAAGCCTGTGTCAGCAACCACTAATTCTGCAGCTGCATCACTGTTCCCTCCGTTGTTGGGTGCAGAGGTATGTGCTCTTGTCCTCGTGGTTGTTGGGGGATGTGAATCTAGGTAGTGATTGCAAGTACAGTGTAATGTGGTCTTGTTACAGGCGGTGGCAAAAGGGAATGAATCGGTGGTGGTGCCCTTTTCACTGTCTGCTGAGGAAGGAGCGATGTTTAAGAAACAGAAGGAACAGTTACGGTTGAAGGAACGGTCTTTGCGTGGAGCTGGGGATGCGGCGCTCTTTCCGCCGTTGATCTCTCCATCCGATCGTGTTAGTTGATGCATTGTTGAATACGTTTGGACTACGCTCACATGACTGTTTGTTTTGCATTTTGTGGTGTGATGTGGTTTTAATGTTGTTGTAGGTGTGTGTGAACGGTGATATTGACGTTGAAGCAGACGTGGACATAATTCCTCCAACACCAGTCACGGTGGTGAAGGTGGGGGTAGAAAGACGAGGTGCAGCGGAAGGCGAGGTTGGAGGTGGAGGTGAGTGTGTGGAAGTGGAGGAAAGTGCCAGTGGCGTGGGAGGTCAGTGTGCAGGAGGCCGAGAGGTCCTGTCAGCGGTGACGGATGTGCGAGTGGATGTGGAGTCAACCGCAATACCGAGGGGAAGTGGGGAGATGAATGGGGAAGTGGTGAGAAATGGGTATAAATCGAAGGTGCGTGGTATGCCAAACTTGTTGTGTGGATTGTGTTGATTTCTTTATATGTGTGTTTGGTTGTGATTTTGTTTAACAGACGAGTGATGCACGAATGGCGTCGTTTTTGGCTCACGAGGCAGAGGCCGAAGCTGCGGCGGACGTGGCGGCTGCTTCTGTGGTCGTGGATGCAATCGCAAAGGAATCGGCGCTGGAGTCGCGGTGTGAGGCGCTCTCGCGCGACCTGTCCGTCGCGCGCTCTACCCACGAGGAGGCGATGGCGCAGTTGGCTGAGTTACAACGGCGTGTGCATGAGTACGAGGAACTGGCGAGCCAGTATTGTGTAAGGCGTTTGTGTTGGCGTGTTTGCGCTGTGTTGGTGGTGAGGAATGGGACTGGATGTGGATTGTGATGTGGTGGTGGTGGTGGTGGTG